AAAAAGTTTGTAAATTTTATGTAGTTTTCAATAATACCTTATTTGTTAAGATTGGATAAAGAAAAACGGAGAAATGTCTTCTTTTCTAAATGCATGACCACTTTTCTCCATTTAAACAATGCTAAACAACGTAAAAGGAGTATTAGCATTGTTTAAATGGAGAAAAGTGGTCATACATTTAGAAAACAACACGTTTCTCTGTTATTATTTATCCAATCTTAACAAATGAGGTATCATTGAAAACTACATGAAATTTACAAACTTTTTTGTCTCTTGCTTTTGTCAAAATAACGGTTTTCGTGAAATTTGGCATCAAATATTTTAAATGGCCGCCATTTTGAAACGGTTAATGATTTTTTAGTATAATTTCTAACAATAATAGGTCTTAATAAGATTAACATTTTTGCAAAATATCAAAGCTGTATCTCAAACCGTTTAAAAGTTATTAGTTTTTTTGTAAAAAACACATAAATACCGACAGTCGGTAAACTAGACACCACAGACCCATGTTCCTATGGTGAAATGTGTTTGTCTTGACCTAAGCAATAACGCTATATACATGTGGCCAGAGAGTTACGGGACACCCTGTATAATCAAAATACGTATTTTAAATTTACTGCAGTGAGTTGATTCTGGTTAGTTTGATCTAAGTTGCAGTTTTACATTACTAAAAACATTTATTTCATATATAGACATAGATGAGTAGACATAGTATAGGCTACTTGTTACTTAAAATTGTATACTCACTTATTCGCAAATAATAAATTGTGGAATATCATTAGAATTCCTTAAACATTTTAGGGAATTAAAAAGTTTTATTTTGAATAATAACTGTATAGTTTGGTAACATTTTGCATTGTGTTTTCTTATACTAAAGTTCATGCATTGCATATAAATGAATATGATGCAATGATACAAAAAATTCTTAAAATAGTGAAACTAATCAGGAATATATTATTTTGTACTGTTTGTCCTGTAAATTACAATTAGTTGTATAGTTAGAATTTCCACTCTGAGTCATATTTAAATTATAAAACCCATATAAAAATACGAGTAAGGTTATCACTGTTGTCCAATAATGCAATGATTAGTGTTTTGCTGTCGCTGCAGTGTCTGTGCTTCCCTCAGATTATACCATTGACCTATAAGTGATAAATAGTAAATAACACACAGGGACTGCCCACTTAAAGGCGGGGACACACTTGTCATACACTCTTCCGATCCTACTACGATCCGATTTGCGGGATTCCAGAAGGATCGGTGCGGGATCGGAGGGGGTGAACACACATGTCATACACAATTCCGACCCATCTCAGATTTCCTCCACCGGTCGATCAACACTTGCCAGTCTGATTTGTAAACTACGTGCTAAGGTGGTAAACATGTTCAAAAACTTTGGACTTCGGGATTCAGACATTATGGTCGTTTGTCTAGATGAAGAGGAAGAAAGTCAGACATCTCTGAAGGGCAGTGGAAAACGAAGAAATTGGGTTCATTCTGTATGGAAAGAAATTTAGGTGGTTTACTTAAGTGCCCATCTTATATATTAAGCAAATTGGGTTTTCTCTCTCGAAGTCGATTGGCTCTTCTACCCGTCCGATTTTCATGATCGAGGTCTCAAATTGAAGGTATGCACGCACAGATTTCAAATCAAGCATCGGCATATATTTATCTTAAACCATTGTTCCTAAACCTTAAGAATAAAGGTGACTTTTAAGAAACACCCCGTCCTGCATCCGACAAACGAATAGACTGCAGTGTCGGTGCGTGATCGGAACCAAAATCGGAGTAGGATCGGAGTATGACATGACGCGTGTCGGAGAGGTGTGAACAACCGCGTTCAATGTTATGTACCATTCCCCTCTCCGACAGTCGTACCGCAGTATGATCGGAGTCGGATCGGAAGGGTGTATGACAAGTGTGTCCCCGCCTTTAGTTATGTCTATCTGCCAAATCACCCCCCCCCCCAAATAAAAGTCAATGTGTTATTGTCTACAGTCTGCAATACTGTATTCAGTTCTATACGACAATGCGATTCAAATTAGTATGCCATTGGTGCATAGATTCCTCTCCTAGGCATACAAACATTCTCATTAGATGCGAGAGGATCACACGAAGTGCAAGGAGTGCTGAGAAGGACCTGGCAAAATCAAGTTATTGTTTTTATACTTGATTAGATAAAATTGCTAAACACTATTCAGTGACCTATTTGATTCACAAAATTTATTTTTAACTATTTGTCAACATCAGGAAGATCATTAGGTAACTTAGTTTATGAGCATATATTATAAATGCAAAAATTGTTGACATCGCCGTAGGCTGCAGATTATGAAACAAAAACAAAAATGTTATGAGTTCCTCCTAGAAGAAACCAGAAACTCTCATTGAGTCAAGGTTATTTTGGCTATTGAGTTGAGATATGAATGTAAAATTTCTTTTAACACAGAACTATTTAAAAAAGCTTATCAAACTCTTCATAAACAAAATGTTTATTACTTATTTTAAATGGCTACTGTGACGAGAGTATTTTATTAAGCTAAGCCGTCGTCAAAGCCAAAGACAGATGTTTTTTTTTTCATTTGCAATTCACCACACTAATAAGTGAATACCGTAACACGCAATTTTTTCACAAAAATCCATCCTCCTTTTCAACTAACACGTTTGAGTTTTACTTGTATTGTATAAAAAATAAAAATGCATTTGCTATTTAAGGTTTCCATTTTTCGAACAGATACTAATACACCCTAGTGATATGACGTCTATCTAGACAAAGATTGGCCTATTCGCGTGTTTAAGTCTTAATTGCGAACAGTCCAGATCGAGGAAAATGGTAAAATCGTCCATACAGCGAATATCTTGAAATTTTTTTACCATGAGTCGTCCAGACTGCGAAAAATATTTAGAATCTAAAAAAAATGTTTGAGACACAGCTACCAAACAGGAGAGATGGGCATTTTGTTTATTATGTATAGGGTTGGGGAAAAGTATGGAACCCCCCCCCTAATGACTTCTTAATGGGTTCTATCAGGAAAACCAAACTCTGCACACCTCTATATGGCATAAAAGTGCACTGTTTTGTTGGTATCCCAACTTTATCCGAAACCCCAAAATGGGTTATTTTGGGGGCAACTCACAAATTTGAAATGTAAAGCGCCATCAAGTGATACCTCATTTTAAAGGTCATTAGTTTAAAAGAATATCGGTAAAAACTATCTCAACCCATTACATAATGGAGGGCATTTTTATTTTTCATCATAATGGGTTGAGACAGTTTTCACCGATATTTTTTAAACTAATGGCCTTTAAAATGAGGTGTCACTTGATGGGGCTTTACATTTCAAATTTGTGAGTTGCCCCCAAAATAATCCATTTCGGGGTTTCGGGCGAAATTGGGATACACAAAACAGTGTACTTTTGTATGCCATAAAACTACTTTTGGCCAACCCTGTATACATGTTATTTATTCTAAATTATGTTAATCTACAGAATTCATATGAAATAATTGTTTTATAGATTTTTTTTAAGATTATTTAGCTATTATAAGTCAATGGTATATAAATGAATGATCATAAATAGTTTTTCAATGTTTTTAATCCTATTCACAATTTTTCTCTTAGTCAGGCCATTTTATGTAACCATTTTGAGTATGGGGTACTTTTCTACGAAAGGGTTTTCAAATTTATTGCTTATAAATATTTAAGCTATTGATATACGTGTTTTATAATTCGAGCTTTTCGTAGCGGCAATTGTTAACTGCTTTAGAATTTGACGGAAATAGATAAGGTAGGGTACGTATACATATTATACTGTAGAATGGTATTTGATGCTCTGGACAACATTTTTGTGTGTGCATAGCTGAAGTGTCAAAAGAACGAAAAGTTAAAGAAAATTATTGTATTTTTTTAATTTGCAGACCTTTAATAGCAAATGACGTGAAAACTATACACCTTATCAAAAAATGTTACCGAACAACACTTGCAAATGTAATGAGCTTTTATTTTGGTTAGAATTATAGTAATTTCGAATGTCAGAAATTTTCGAGATGTTAGCAAAATTGTTAAATAAATGGTACTTTTGAGCCCTCCCCCCCTTGCTCGAATGCCACGGGCGGGGACTTTATATGTTCTCCTCCTAACTGTTCTAAACAAAGTCACGAAGACCAAAATTGTGTTCCAAACATCTCCTCTATACCTTTTAGAGCATTTGTTACCTGGACTAATATTAAACTAGTGATCTTTTTCTAATGCATAATCAAACAACTTAGGCACACCATGACAAGTTTATGGAATTGGAACCATTTTCAGAACTATGTAACTTTGAGCACATTTATATTTTGTAAGTCTTCGAATAATCCATTTATCACGTAATAAAACATTCAATGATTAATTACAAAACGAACGACTTACACTTTTCTGCACTTTCAAAATGACGTTAATCGTGTTGCAAGTGGTGTCGTCACAAAACTCAAATTTTGTAATTCCAGTAATCTATTTGAATTGTTTGTGCTTTTAATGCCACTATATTTTTTTAAGGAACGGTCTAAACTCTGGTCTTGCTAATATTCAACGTCAATCTTTTGCCAGGGGGCGTCATTAATTGATATCCTAATGTCCTAATGGCATCTGGGTCTGGAATCAATCCCACTTGGGAAAGAACGAGCGTCCTACACATATTTGAAGGCCAGTATTAAGACCACTTATTACCCAGAATACAATTTTTTGAAGCCTAAACATCAAAGACTGTCCCAAAACTGTCATATGAAATATTTGTTTGTGCATTTTAAAAGTATTTTATCCATGTTTTCCTGTACGTAAGCCTGCAGAGAGCAGAGTTTAGCCAAAGAGTGATTTGATGGTGACCCCAAGGAGCCCTGCTTCAAGGGTGTCAAATTTTCCTGTGTTTCCCAACAGTCCAAGCCCCCCTGACCCTTGCCCCCTTCCTCTACGCTAAACACTGTACTTCCCCGGTGGCGACGCTATATAAGCTACCGGCGTCCTCTGCTCAGCATCAGTCGCCATGACAACAGCAGTGACAGCAGTGGTGTTGGCTCTACTAGCAGTGGCCCACGCCGGACCGGCTCCTAAGACTTGTGAGTGTTTTGATATTAATTAATTACACAATTAAGAATTAGTACCTGGGGACTGAGCCATGGCTCGGTGTATTTTATTTCCATTTTAATAGCAATAAAAAAGGAAACTCACGTTTTATTTACAGCTAATTTTGGCTTTATTATTTAAGTTTCAGTGGAATTTCAATTTATTATGATGGGAATTTTATCCTAGCAATTTACAAAACATTATTTTATTTTACAGACAATGGTAAAAATCACTCGTAGTAGCATATACTTGAATAAACATTGTTTTGACAGTTTGTTTGGATTAAAACAGCTGATTAAAAATTTTTGCTTGATATCTAATCAATTTAAAATTAATATGCTAAACATTGCCTTAGTACTTCGGGGATTTAGTTTTGGTAGGAGTTAGCCAAGTAAAATAATCAGTATTAGACTGGAACTATTTTGTACATATATCGAGTAATCGTCAGTGTAATCTTTGCTGAATAGTAAAACTGATGTTTTCCCCTTTCTACTGAATTTTGTAATTTGCTAGAAGACTGTGAATGGCTTGTTATAAACACGTGTTACAAGTCTATTGTTTGCTTTTTCCTTGTTATTTTGTTCAACCAATATGGTTTACTTGGCAGCCCATAAGGCTAATGTTAAAGATTATTTACTTTCAATTTCATTTATTTACGTAATTAGATTTTTGTTGGCAATTTTAACTGCAGTAAACACGTTTTTGGGCCAAAAATAAATTATTTATAACATATGAGGGAAATTGTCGATGCCTTTTGTGATATGTTTGTGCAAGCAGTATACATACAAGATACAAGCAAACATTGTTCATAAGAGTATAGTACAGGATTATGATTCTACTTATTTTTACATCTTAATTTTTAAGAATTGTTTGGGTGAAATCTATGTCAAAATGTACAGTTTTTATAGTTTAGTATTATTCGTCAATTAAGTTTTAGGTTGTGTCTTTGCGGAGAACGCGAAAAACAGCTTCTTTGTTACCTGATTCATTGAGTTTCATTGAGAAAGGACTTCGCGTTATTTGTTCCTGTGTTAAGCAAAAATTCTTTAAATAGTTTAAACAAGATTTATATTCATTCACTTGGAGATAATGTATAAGTTGAGTACAGTTTGCTAGATACCTATACGATTGCTTTTCATGCAAGATACAAGTTGAAATTTGATGACAATGCGTGTGTTTTTGATACGTAAGCAAATCGAAACCAGACCATGGCATAACCTACTATAAAACGCTGATTTGTTTGTTCTACTTAGTTGGGCCACATCAGGTGGAATGTATCAATGCATCACTCCCTTTCAATTACGCACTTCTTACATCCTCATATATTCATGATTATTTTTGGTTGTTTTAGCAAATACATCTACAAAAAAAAAAAAATAAATAAATAATTATTTGTGTTGTACGTTTACAGTACACGTGGAATGTTTGATTTGTTGTATGTAAATCTACACAGCGTTATTTATAACGTGAGCAATGTATAATTCACGCACATATAGCTCTCAAATAAAACAATAATATGTTTAAATAATGTTAACCATAGACAAACAAGTGTTCATCATTGAGGGATATTTGTAACGTTTCAAACACATCTAGAATATTGTTTATAAGGATCTGTTGTAATGGGATTGTATATTTATAATTTAGATCAATTCCAAATTTAAAACAACGCATAATCGGCATATCTAATTTTATTACAGAATTGTTATAAAATATTAATTAACATTTAGTTACGATGTTCTATTTGCCAAAGTAGTTGTTGTTTCGGCTTCTTAAATGTTTAAAACGTAAAAATAAAAAAAAATCTGAGCAATGTACAGACAAAACTCTAACTTCATTTATATAAATGTGGCATTTGTCAAAGTAGTTGTTTATCATTTCCAATCGAAGCAGAAGCTCACTAAATGAGTGGCAGTTACATCGGTACACAACTTTGAACCTTGTTTCACTTTTTAAACTAACGTTGAACGTGGTCGGTCAATCAAGTATCATCGAAGTATTCACAACCCGAAGGAGTTTCGCATAGCAACAGCACTACAGAGAGGAAGAGGAGAGGATATAGCTGCAAGTCGTTGGCTTGTGCTCAACATTTGACGGTCACGGTCAAGGTTATCCTCAAATCGCCATCGCCTGTGCAACCAGCGGCGAGCGGCGCCTGACAACAACGCTGCAAGCAACTGCAACTTGTCCTATCTCTGTACTCTGTTACTACTTGTGCATTACTGACTAGTAAAATTTACGTAAACATAACAGCAGTGACATCCAATATCCAATATTATAATCTTGTAACCAAGAATGACGTGAAGGTTCTCTGCTGTAAGCCCAGATACAACAGTTCAACTGGATCTGTATATGATTGCATATATATTTCTTTACTTTTAAGACGGGTATTTTGGGGGAGTCGCCAGAAGACTGCCCTCCGGACTACTACCCCCCCCCTCAAGCAGGTCCCTACTACGTCATTTTGACGTCAGAAACCGGGGGGGGGGGGCAGTTTTCGAGTTTTCCAGTCACGGACTGGACACTCAAGTTTCGTTGTTTAACTGTTCTAAACTAAGCTAACCTAACCAACCAAACTTGCTGTAACATTTTCAAAATTCGGTTTGATATTCCGCAGCAAGTGCCTTTTCTGTTATGAAACGGAAGCAAATTAAAAACTCGAATTGAAATTACCAGTGCAATGATAATTATTTGAATCGTATGAAATGAACTTTGAACTTAAATACTTTTTGCATCACATTTTGCTAGGGGGGGGGGGTATTATTGAGTATTCCAATCTAAACACGACTTCCACGACTTAGTTGGCAGATTTCTTTAGTTCGTTTCACTAGGGGGGGGGAGGTTTTCCAGGGGGTTGTATTCTTCATCCCCTTTTGGGAAGTGGGGGCATGGGAACAGTTGTACCATAACATTTACAAGAATATATATCGATAAAACAGTGTCATTTTAATGCTTGTCCCCCTACTATGATGGTCAATTAACATCATTCGTACAAATGAATTAGAAAAAATTTATTTGAAAACTAGGTAAATTGTAGTATGTACATATTTTTGATATAAATTAAAGCTTTGAGAGGAAACCCGCTTTGGTATTCAGAGATGTAAAACTGTTTACTCATGGTGACATTTTTTTATGTTTCAGTTAAGCTGTGTGTACCTCACAATGCCTACCAAGCTTGTCTGCAGATGGTGGAGCAAGGCAAGGGTGTGGGGGTGGAGATGACTTGTGTGCCAGCCAGAGACAGGTAAACTACACTGTGAAATAAATAATACCAAGTTACCATCCTGGAGATTGTCAACCATACAAGAGTCATAGATGGATTTGTCATTTATCTTTGACTAGGTGTTATTAAATTCTTTTGTATTAGTTGGGCCCAAAATTGTTCTCTTGTCATGAAACAAATATCCTCTGTTCTTCCGTTCTGAATTTTCTAGGTAAATCTCCCTTATGATAACACTTTTTGAGTAAAATGATACAGTAATACACCAACAACATAATCCAGAGCTCATAATACAGTTAAGCCGGGTTTGTTGTAGTCGCGGAAGAGTAGCGCAGAGGGCGGATAAGCGATTAACATTGCGTTCCGCTGCGTTAGGAAAACGGTAACATTATTGATAATTGATAATTGATAATTAAATTACCTAAGACAAGAGGAGTCCGTTCTCCACGTTGCACTCTCTGTGCTCCGCTTCTGCTCCTAGGAAAACCCAGCCTTACACATCTCTTATGAAAGAAACCAAACAAAGAAATAAATTGGTGGCTCATTTGGTAGCGCCACAGACTTTGGGCCTGAAGCAGCGATATTGTGGGTTTGGATTCTTGTACCTTGGTATTTGCATTAATTTTATCACAACAGTTCACCCTTGTAGGTACTGTACCGGCTCACTCTTTCCTTCCCTGAATACAATCTTACAGACCAGAGGCTTACCTGTATGTGGTCAGGCAAATACAAAATGACTATAAACTTTATTCAATCTGTTATCTGGTCAAGGTACACAGTATAGTTTCTGACCCTTTACTGTACAGCTATGTATGTTCTGTTTCTGTCTGCAGGTTGGACTGTTTATCCAAGGTAAAGGACCATGAGGCTGATTGGGAGGCCGTTGACCCAGAGGACATGTACATTGCTGGCAAGAGGTTTGGCGACTCCCTCAGTGTGTTCAAGGAGATTCGCACCAAGGAGGAACCTGACGGTATGTATAGCCTGTCTGCTGTCAAAATAACAACCATAGCAAGGTGCAGATTGTCTATAAAGTAGGCATTGTAACTGAAACATGAACATACATATAGGGTAGTTGTAAAACTAACCAAATTATATTATTCCAATATTTTTGAATCTGCAAATTCAAAATTTTACTTCTTCAGAAAACCAAAAAGTATAGTACAATTTTTAAGTTAACCATGGTTTTAATTTTAAGTTGGATTTATATCTGCTTCATCTGTTTAAGTATCACAATAATACTATGAGTGGTTAGCCTCAGCTCAGACCTAGATGTAAGAGGGAAAAGATTGATCCGCAGAGGGTATCCACAAGATTTGAGATGTTGTAACCAATTTAAATTACATTTACTGGTTGTATTGTTTCTAATAATGAAACGATTTGCTACAGCGGAGTTCCGATACGAGGCCGTGGTTGTGATTCACAAAGACCTGAACATCAACAACATTGAACAGCTCCAGGGGCTCAAGTCTTGTCACACTGGTGTCGGCCGCAATGTTGGCTACAAGATACCTATAACCAAGGTAGGTCTGCAATAAGTTAGGTTTGCATCCAATTTTTTAATAATGCAAGCGGATAAAAAAATATTCTTTAACTTTATCCAAACTGCACACACTTTAAGGTTTATACGTGGAGAAGTTACTTTATGTATTTACTATCTATTGTTGAACATCCATTTCCATTGCCATACAATCGGAGTGACACATAAGAGTAAATAAGAACAGTTTGGTGCGTCGGTGGCTGGGCTAACTTTGGGCCCAAGGATGTTGTGGATTCAGATCCTGGTACTGTACACCTGCCAAGTGCCAACCCTTTTTATCAGTAGTTTTTCACCCTTGTACTGTTTCGGCTCAGCTCTTGTTTTGCTGGACACATTCCACCCACAGGCCTGTGTGGCTCATGAGGACGAGCAATTGCAGGTTATAAGAGGTTACAGACCTCTTGAAAAAAAAAAAAAATAGTTCTGACAGTGTAACTATGTTTCAGTTGACCAAGATGAAGATTCTGCCTCCTCTGAACGACACCAAGCTCTCTCCAAGAGAAAATGAGCTCAAAGCTTTGTCAACGTTCTTTAGCAAGTCTTGCATTGTTGGCAAATGGTCGCCAGACCCTGAGATCAACCAGAGACTCAGTAAGTAGCACAAAGTACAAGATATTTATGAATGGAAAGCTCACAATGAGTTAGCTAGTAACTCAGGGGATATACAAAAGTGAAATTCTTTTGTTTTAATATTTCATAATCTTGCTTATTAAATAAAAGCCCTTCCTGACAATTAATAAACCAATCTTGTGTCAAACGCTTTCTCTAGTGAAAATAGGTGTATTCGTTTTCATGAACAAGTAGATTGCTGAACAGACAAGGTCTGCGGCAATTTAGCCTTATTAATTGCTATAACTTACACTCTTAAACAAACCAAGCTTAATTCATGGTAGTTAGTCTCATTTATAAAAGTTAGATAAACAATTCCTTAGAGTAAAGAGTACAGAAACCTTCCGTATGTAAGTAAAGCTTCTGCCGAATCTCTACCATTTATACAGATAACTTTTCTAGGCATATCTATGATGCTTTATTATCAAGATAAATCTCTCTTAAGCTGGTTATCAGTTAACAATATTCACTTAAACATAAATATGTCCAACCTCATGCAGTTCTTGATTCCTAATAAGAGTCCTGACACCCATTCCTTAGATGAGTTTGGGATGAAGGATATCTATCTACGAAGTCAAATTTGTTATCAATGACTATCAACTTTGTCTGAATCCGTCCCAGCCCCAGCTTTGTGAAAGGATAAGTTTATGAAATATCATCAGTGATCACGGTCTAATAAACACATTTTTTTTTGTCTGTAATTAACTATTGATATAATTCTTAGGGGGGTTTTCTCATGTTTTTTTTAAACAAAAGAGTACTGAGCACATCATTAAAAGCCTGGTCCTAATAATTGTGTACAGGAAGTATCTTCCATTCAAGTAAAGAGCATTTCTAGCAGCACTGATTTTCCTGTAAATATATTAAATGTGGTTGGAAGTGACAGATCTCGGAATTATCATGGTATGGTGACCAATGTTCCCTTATAGTAACCCTTTCGGATATTGATATTAGAAAAGCTTCTAAATTTATTATGTTTACTGAGTGCAGTCCTTTTGAAAGGACAAGCAATCCATATTTTGTGAGATAATCTTTATACTATCACACTAGATTCCTTTAATACAGTTTAGAAGAATAAAGCTTATAGTCCTGTTGTTATTTTTGTACAGAACAGCAATACCACAACCTGTGCGAGCTGTGTGAGTTTCCAGACAAGTGTGACTACCCTGACCAGAACTCTGGATATGAGGGAGCCCTGAGGTGTCTGGCTGTGGGAGACGGAGAAGTGGCATTCACCAAGGTTATCTTTGTCAAGAAGTTCTTTGGAGTAAGTACAATATGCTGTGTGAGCAATATTACTTACTTGTATTGATGGACATGCTTTGGACATTGTAATGAAACCAACAAGTGGTATGAGTTAGCTTCTTGATATATCGGCCATCAAGAGTATGATAACTTGTAATGGTCAAATTTTGTTAGGGGTACGTTTTCATTATTTTAAGGCCGCAAACTGCTTGAACGCGCTCGGCAACAATGACCGACGTAACACTAGACATATCAAGTGTCCTAGTTCGGAACTCGACCACTGCTTCCTTGAAGCGCTAGCGTAGCGGGAGCAAGAGATAGAGATGGCAGACATGGCCCCGGCCGGTCTTCTAGTCAGTGGACGGCGAGTGGAAGGTTCGACCGTGCGATCCAGTTAGTTGTTTTATTTGCTTACGGAGCTTACTATTTTATTGAGCCTAGGTCACGCCTACTTATATCTGAACTGTTCTTTGTCAATGCGTTGCTGTGCTGGCCCCGTATTGATGGGCAATATAGTGGTAAAGTTGTTCAGTGCGTCGTGCTGGCGTAAAACAATAGTGTACTCGTGCATGTAGGTTGATGCAAAGTAACATCTTAAGGGTGACGGTAGGAGCGAACAACGGATCCAGCTGTCCGAGCGAAGAATCGGAGGTAAGTTTAGGTTAGTGACCCTAACCCGAACTAAAAACCTCAAAAACTAAACTTCAATTTTACAGCTAACTCAAATAAAATAAATTTAACTAGCCTTTGTAAAATGTAAGTATATTATCTGAATGAAGCTTAAAGCTAAATCTGATATTTGTAGCTTTCAAGTCATGTTTAGAACCATTACACTTGTGCTATGGCTATGGGTTGACCAGGATTGATCAATGTTTATGCGGTCCAAGGGGTTTTTTGTATGTTGTTGATTTGAACCATGTCTCGGTCAGGTCTGGTGTGACTAAATGTGTACTACTATTTATCAGATGGCGTATGGAAGCCAGCCTGCCTCTCAGTCTGAGTACAACCCTGCTGACTACGCCTACTTGTGTCCCGACGCCTCCAAGAGACCCGTGACCGGTGCTCCCTGTAGCTGGGCTGCGCGGCCGTGGCAGGGATACCTGACCAGCGACCAGGACCAGCAAGACGTGGCAGCTCTGCGGGAAGCCATCACCAAACTGAACAACCTTGGAGAGCAGAACCACGCTGAGTGGATCACCTCTGTGCTGGCCCTCAACAACAAGACTCTGGCGAGGGACAACAACGGACCCTACGCTCCCCTCCAGTACCTAGAGAAAGGTAACTTTCTTTACAACAGTTTGAATGTGATTGTGATTGTAATGTAACAGCTGATCCGCCAGTTGAATTTGATAAAATTGTAACCTGATTGAGGAAGGTACAGTAAAACCTCACCAGCTTGACACCCTCTAACTTGACAATCCTTGCTCTTCTTTACACTACTAACCAATACCCAGACAGCACGTGAGCTTGGACCAAACTTGGTTTTTACATATTTCTGAATTGGTACGACAAACTTGGAGTTTGGAACCCACTACAAATTTAAAACAGCTTTGGTTAAGTGAACTTGTGTGAATGAGCCAAAACTAAACTTGTTTTATTTACATATATAACCTGGTTGGCCAAGTCCACAATTTAAACACCTAACCAGGGGCCCTATTTTTGAAATGGTTGACAGTTGAGTCAATCGTCAGCACTCAACTCAACCAACAACATGATTTGGTATTTTTGAAACCCAACAGTTGGGAAGCGAGTTGGGAATCACTAGTTGAGAGACTCGTGGTGGAAATGTAGGGCATACGACCGTCAAAAATTCAGATGACGTCATTTTGAACCAATCACAATGCAGAGTTCTTGCGGACTTCGATTTAACCTCTTATTCTTACTCTAAAATCTGGCAGCTAATCTCAATCTGCCAAATTTCTAGACACTGAGGTAAACTGTCAACTCCGTTCTTGAGAGATTGAGATTGAGGTTATGTCTTGCTTAATCTTAGTGATTGCAAAGTACCTTAACTTAAGTAATAAACTAAAGTAAACTAAATAAAGTAATAAACTTAAGTATAAAAAATAAAATTTACTATGGATGTTTGTTTTAAGTTAGGGTGTAGCTAATTATAAGTTTAGGCATAGGCTGCACTTTACTTTAGGTCCTACACTCATCCTAAATACATTATTATTTGCTTTCTTCGTCTCTATTTCGGAACACATCACCTTATTTTAGTTTCCTTCATCGGTTTGTTTTATGTTATTTTTAATTGTTTTTTATTTAGGTTAAAGCGGCTATTTGCCATTGCACTGGAAGAGCATGTCGTAACTTAAATTAATTTGATCCCTTTATTAGGTGAATGGTATTGAAACAAACTATGATATTGTTTCTCTCTACCACAATCTTTAATACCTTAAATCATAGGTCTAATAACAATAATTATCTTATAATAAGTTCAATTAGTATGCCTAGTCTATTTCAAACATTCCAACAAGAATAAAACCCTTGATTAAATAGTCTAGTATTGACACAGTAAATAAAATTAAAATGCGATTATTCTACAGAAAACAATCGCATAATTGGGTGCTAATACATTGACAACAAATACATAACCTCTAAAATCGCAATTATTAAATTAAAGCAATAACAAAACAATATGGCGTCGTCTCAAAAAGAGTAATTTTTTGCCGAAAGAGAGGAAGAAGAAAGTGCAATCAACCTCCACTCAACAGCTCGATAGGTGTTGAGTAGTTTTGGTTGTATAAGTCCACCGTCAACCGTTTCAAAAATACGAAACGATTGGAAATAGAATGACTCGACACTCAACTCAACAGTCAACCATTTCAAAAATAGGGCCCCAGACCCACGACAAGCTTGTTCATGTGAGTCTAAAGTGAGCAGTGTCATATGACAAAAGAATTTTCCCTCCACCCCTACCCAGAACGCTCCTAAAACCTGTTTCTTTGTGCTGAACCACCATTTTTGTTGGATTTAGACTTCCTCACTCTCAGTAGTCTCAGTTGTCAGTTCTCACTTATCTAGTTCTGGTGTTGTGAGTTACTCGTTTCGTTACTAGTTGTGAGTTTTTTTTATGGTTTTGATACCAAGACAAAGCAATGAAGAATTAAGGGATTCCTGTAAAGGTAAGATTTAAACTCCATTGATAAAAAATATACTTGTGTTGGTTAGTCTATGATGATATAAGTAAGCTAAGTTAAGCAAACAATTAATTTAATTGCATCAAGAACCCGTAGAGTTTTGTTTATAGCCTAAACCTTTTGTGCTTTAACCTTTGGCTTTGACATACTCAGCGCTTCACTGAATCGACAACGTCACTAACTATACTATATTCTAATAGTCTACTGCTGAACTCAACAGAACAGTGCCAAAATTTGTGTTTAACCTTAACCATTATAGTCAATGCCTTAACCTAGTCTACAGATAAAAACAGGCCAAACCATTAGTTTACGTATAAAAGTAAAATAGTAAGAAATAAAAGTTTGATAACAATTTTAAAAACAATGGTAGCCTACCTAAGGTAACGTTAAGTTAACACCCTGTGTTTGCAACACCAACAAATTCCAAATAATCAAATAATTATAATAACAAATAAAAATAATGAAAAATGATTTAAATGATAAATTTTAATAATCCAAATAATTGTAATTCAATTGTATTTTTTATAGATCTTCTGAAGCAGGCGGTGGAGTTGATGGGTTCAGAAAAGAAGTTGAAGGTGAAGTGGAAGATAGTGGGCATTGTATTTATTATATTAATAAATTGTCTTGAAATGTGAATGTCTTGCTTTCTAAACCTCATATATAACCAATATTTTTTCAAGATCACTCATAAAATAGGCTTCATGTTATCATAAATCTTTCTTGGTAAAAAAATAATTATAAGAAAAAATGTGGGCTAGCAAATGAATGGTGTGAAACAGCTTATATGTTAAATAGGTATAAATTATATTACTGTTACTATAGCCTATTATAATAATAATTATTATTATCTCTGATCATGACAGTAATTGAAGTATATAAAACTTCGTACCAAGTTCTGAGTGAGTACCTATAGGTGTGAGCTTGTTAGCCCAAGTCTAAAATGTGCTAAAACCAATTCCAATATGAGTCTAGGCCAAGTCCAATATGAGCCTACTAAAAGCGGGCTTGGGTCTCCAAGTCCATAATGAGCCTGTTTAATTTATCAGTGTGAGCTTGTTTGCCCAAGTCTAAAATGTGCTAAAACCAATTCCAATATGAGTCTAAGCCAAGTCCAATATGAGCCTACTAATATTGGGCTTACGTCTCCAAGTCCCGAACAAGTCCATAATGAGCCTGCTTAATCCACCAGACCCGTTTTGTATCCATCATTCCAAGCTTAGAGTGGGTTTGTGCCCATGAGTTCACTGTAGGTTTGGGGTTGGGACTTGGGTTGGACTTGGGGAGCCAAACCCATAACAAGTTGAACAACTGCCAACTTCGGTCTCTAAAACAAGTCAAAACCAAGCCTACAGACTTTGGTCCCTGAGTCTAAACCAGGCTTGGGGACTTGGGCCAATGGACTTGGAACAAGTTCCCAGCAAGCCCATTGTGCTGTTGGGGTAAGTACCCGTATGTATGGAAAACAGTACAGTGTGAGTGAAAGGAGCGTAACTTAAACAAGCATATGTTTACGCATATGTTCCCTTCTACATTTGTATTCCTATTGAGTGATACAGGAACTTTGTTTTCTGGGGAGAGACAAAATCAAATGTTTTAGTGGATTAGAAATAGATGATCAAAATGTAAGCTATATGCAAATAAGCTTTTTAGAATTAGTAATAGTGAAAATATATTATTTTATCTGGCTTAATTATTTATCACGAGTACCAACAGGTTCAGTTGCATTTATTGGCACGCAAACTGTATTCCATAACCTAGATGATTTGAAGAGTTAAGCATCTTTATGTGTGTGACAGCCAAGTACGTGGATGTTATTGAACGAGATGTGCTGGAACCTCGCCGCTATGTGAAACTCTGCACCTCCACTCCGTCCGAGGCTGCCAAGTGTGAGGACCTCGCTCAGGCTGCGTACTCACGAGACATCCGTCCAGGTCTGGCCTGTGTTGCTCGTCCTTCACTGTCCGAGTGTCTTGCAGCCATCAAAAACAACCAAGCTGACATAGTCTCAGTTGATCCTGGTCTTGCAGTCAATGTCTTGAGGTAAGACTACATTCATCTTACTTCAGAAATACATATACAGAGTGCTGCAGAGGAATGACATGGTGTACACTTTGAAAATAAATGTACGCAAAACATATTTTATAGCAATAATAAACATAATTAAAACTAGAGGTACCGTTAAAATTCAAACCATGTTAAAAATCTCTTCCAAACATTGATAACTTTCAAAATACCCTTTAACAGTTTTAAAATAAGCACTTAAAATTGAACAACACAACCAAGCAAGTACAGTAGTTTGAAGCCTGATGCAGTGTCTGGGGTTGTATCAAAGTCACGACTACGCATGGCTTTGATCACAGATAATATAACCCCTAGTAGGGGTTATATTTTCTGTGCTTTGATGTATAGTTCCAGTATATGCTCTAATATTGATAGGGAAGGTCGCATATAATCAGGACTACAAGAATCCTACAAGAATAAATCACCAGCAAAGCTAAAAGCAAAGGTTGTAGTAAAACTATATATTTTGAATCCTATTGACATGAAAAAATCTCTCTAGAGTTTGACAATACTTTTTATTTCAGCAAGTTCCAACTTACCCCAGTTCTGAAGGAGGAGTATGAGAATGACCACAGGACCTCGGCTGTTGCTGTTGTCAAGAAGTCGTCTGCACTGCAGAGCTGGGCGGACCTCAAGGCTCACAAGGCCTGCTTTGCCAATGTTGGCGAGGCAGCAGGTATGTGTGGCATGAACATGTTCTACAAGTAATGTCATAGAAATCAACAAAACCTAAAAGCTTTCAAACAAATTTGTTCCCTCCAGCAAGCAGTATATTCAGTTACATAAAGCATACAGAGTGCATACAGTAGTTTGGTCCCGCACCCTGCACCCCGTTTGCATATGTGTTAGCATAGCATAGTTTGCCCATAGTTGTGTTAGCCCCTAGGAGGATTAAACATTAAGGAGAGGGCACGCGAATAGGAATACACGTGTTGCGGTGAAGCCAGCTTTAGCAGAACACTAGAGGGGCACGCGGAGCCGTAGAGTGGCAAAAAGCCTCGGCTATAACATGGGAGAGATAGGGAAAAACGCGACGCGCGCTGTTTCGAATTAAAATTGCCGCTAAACTAAAACACCCGTGTTATTCACCGATGGCATTCTTAAAGTAAATTAAATTTCCTATCGAACGGTGTCAATCATTCCTATACAAACTATTATTTATTATTTATTATTGAAGATCAAAGTTGAATGAATTGACCTGGACTTTGAACATATGATTACTATAATTACGTTTTTGAAAAAAATATGATGTATCTACACAAATTAACAATTTATTCATGTTCCTTAAGAGTTTCTCGAAATAAAAAATATATATTTACCTATATTTAAAAGTGGTATTTATAAAAATAATTACAATAAAGTTTTTTTTTATTTTTCCAGTTTATAAAACAATCTTACTAATAATAGGTTAAAATGAAAATTTTAATTCGGGTGGTGAAATACATTTTAAATTGGCATTTTTCATAGTTTTCTCGATTTGTTAATATAATTATTTAATAGTTTTAAGTCATTGATGTGCTAGACAGGTGATTTTAAATAGGTAGCCAAAGTTAAGAAAAAATGCAAAGCCACTCTAACTTTTTTTACACCAACAGCCGTTACAATTAAATTACAATCATAAAAAGTAAAACAATTTCTTGGTAATCAAATTCTTGATTTTTTTAATATCATATTGAACTATATTTGATCTGTTTGCCCAAAGAAACTTCGAGTAAAAAGTGTAAATGTTCAACAATCATCGCGTCTTCTGACGCCAAAGTGCGTTTATCATTCTTTTAAAGGATTAAAACCTATTTTATTTCTCTTTAAGAAAATGTTCAAATACACATACAGTACTACTTATGATTTGAGTTTTAATTTATGAACAGTAAAATCCATTGGTGATATGGCGGGATTTGAACCCGGGACCCCATGAACCGGAGTCCCGCGCTCTGGTTAGAGTATTAGGTATAAATAATACACAATACAAGTATGGCAAAAAATAAAAACAAGGACAACGAATTCTAAAATACAAGTCGTCCTTGTGTAAATTACTCACCTTTGAACGTACTATTGGTTCATAAATATGACTTTCCTCTTAATAGGTTCCTAATATTACGGTTAGAATTTAACTTTTTAATTTTTGTACCATGATGAAGTCTAATTTTTAAATAGTCAATTGATATTTCTGTTACCAAATCTTCCAGTAACGCATACAACGCAGTATGAGAGGTGAGAGGGGGGCGGGAGAGTAGCGCTGCCTGGCTGCCTCCCCCCCTCCTCAGTACGCTGGCTTCAACGAAACTACAGCGTGTCCTCTCCTTAATGTTTAATCCTCCTAGGTTAGCCCATGGTGTGCATGTGACGTGCTATGGGCTTAAGAGACAATCACGGCTCCTTCCCCCCATCAAGGTGGAGGATTTTTCTATTTATTGTGCCTCCAATAAATCTAAAACCTCTTGCCAACAGGCCAGCTTATTTGAGCACCCTTGGTTATAATTTAAATATAGTTGTGCAGTTAGTTTTAATACGCTTACTCAGTGGCAGATTTAGCATGGGGTCATGAGTGCCCGGGTTCATAGCAACAAATTTTTAAGGGCATCAAAGCTGTGAAAATAACTGGAAATTGTAGGTGTCCAAGCAAATCAATCTTTGAGCTGAGTCGAGCCTTGCCTAAAATGATCGAGTACCAAGTCAGAAAATCAACTGGGCATGAGCTGAACTGCTCTTCTAGTATTGCATGTTATCAGAATAGCAGCGAGGGTCTTAGAAGATTGTGGGAGAGAAAGTAGGAGGTGTTCACAACATACTGCTACGGTGGGTAATGATGAGGATATCTCCGGATATCTTTATATTTTTACCATTATTATGAGGGGATGATGATGATTATGATATTTACATGATTATCCAACTGATTGCCAACTCTTAGATGCGATGCAACCCTTAGATAAAAAATACTGCAAATAGAGAACAAAATTTGGTTGAAATCAACTGAAGCGCGTGAAAATTTTGGCGGGTCCACAGGTGTAAAAGGTGTAGTTCCAGCCCTGCCCTAATTTATTATATGGTGAAAAAAAATTTACAAGCAAATGAGTTGCGGAGTTTTTTTTTCTCAACCATTTTCTATCATTAGATAATTATCAAGACAACTCCAATGCTGAAACAAAATAAAATGTGTAAAAATAGTTTCCCTAAATTATATTAGGTATTTTGTACATAATTTTCAGTCACAACCCAAGATATCTTTGCCTACTAAATGATCTGATTTTCAAATCTGTAATGATTAAGGCTAATAATTAACGGTTTTAATGTATGTGAGACGTGAGACGAGCAATCTTTTTAGTTTGGCCTGCCAAAACATATTAGTGTTCTTGCATGTTACTATCCAATTACATAATAAAATAACCAGACTTATTGTTGTGCAGGTTGGGTGGTCCCTGTACACAAGCTTGTCATGTCAGGTCTCGTGGACAAAAACAACTGTCCTTACACCAAGGCCGTCGCGGAATTCTTCACTGCTGTCAATTGTGAGTTACCTATATATGATTTTTTCCGAGTTTCCTTTACACATGAAACCTAATCTCTAAAACAAACTGTTTCCCAGAAACGATTACAAATTCAGGCACAGTACTAATTTAGTAAATAAAATAACATGTACGACAGAATCTGCGGAAATTAAACTGTAAATTGTGTGACATTCTTTTTTCAGATAAAAAAAAGTTACCTAAATAAATGCAGTTTTAGTATATAAGTTCAGTGTGGATTCACTTCTTGTCAGGAATGTATACAATTTTACAATCATTGAAAATGTTATAGTATGATATTCTGAAAGTTCTGAAAATTTTATGCTCCATATACACTGATGGAATAGCAAAATATAATTGGATGTGTTTGACTTTTTAATAATTTCTATAAACATTATTCATCATTGCAGATTCTGAAGAGCCATTCAAGTGCCTTGCATCTGGAGAAGGTGATGTGGCTTTCATGGACTATGATTCTCTCTTGAGGCATGTTGGTGAGTCAAAAGTTAGAAATACAAACCTTATTTATTAATTGTTTTATTCCCAAACTACAGGTACTGGTACGTACTATGATATGAGGCCATAGTTTGGATCTCTCTGGTATGCTCAGGTATAGCTGTCCACTCATTCGAGGCTCGCTCTTAACATTTGTAAAATTGTGTTTTTTAAGGGATGATGATTTAAATTTTAAGGTAAAATACACTTTTCCATTTGCTTAGTGTTTCAACTATACTGTTTCCCCAAACGGTTTACCCCCCATTAAGTAAGGGAACTCCTCCCATTTTGAAATGACCATAATTACTTCATGTTAAATTTGTAGCCAGATTTCATTTATAAAAATCGACGTAGTTACCTACAGATTATGCTGATCTAAATTACTAAGTTCTGTCGAATACACAAAAATTTTTACCAAGTCAAGCTTAGGGAATGATTTATGGTGAGGTGTAGCAACTTAGTCAGCAACAAAAAATAAGATCTACAATAAAATGTTAGACACTAGCGCATTCTGTGACTGGCTCACACAACTACGTTCTTTTTTAAATAAAATTTGGGGACAGCTGGTCCATATAAATGGGATGTCTACTTCAGTATCCAATTTATCAGTATGAAGCCTCCAAGCTAGTCTCTGGAAAATTATAAAACACTCACAAACACCATTGTTCAAAAACTGGACGAACAAACCATACTGGTTTGTTCGTCCAGTTTTCTTGACAGTATTATTTTGTTGTCAGTCTAGTTTAATATTTTGAGACGAGTTGACATGGCTTGTATTGTATTATTTGGTGGTTTTAGATGGAGGAGAGCTGGCTAAGGACCAGAAGGCTTCTGACTATGAGTTGCTGTGTAATGAAGGAGGTCGCAAACCTCTGGACCAATACATGAGCTGCAACCAAGGCTCCGTCCCTCCTAAAGTGGTTAGTATTCACTTAATATACAGTGTGATTGAAAAGTCCCAGAAAGGTGTAATATATTTTTTTACCATTTTAGATAAAGTAATGAGATTTGGTATATCAATAATAGCCATAAATGTCTATTCTCTTAAGCTATTATTAATTGTTTATCCCTTAAGGGCACCCACTAGGTGTCAACCAAAATTCTTAATATTAAGATAATAATAATTGTTTATATTAAATAGCAGCATAGGTCGAGTTTGGTATCAATTTAAAGGTTTTACATAGTAAAACACTTTGCTGCAAACCTGATCTTGAACGGACAACCGAGTCAGAAACGGCAGCCGTTTGAATAATTCATTAATCTGCTATTTTGAATCTTTGAACGGCTGCCATTTTTACTCAGTTGTTCTTTTGAGATCAAATTTGCGGCATTGTCTTCTACCAATAAAGACCTTTAATTTGATTTGCATATATCGACCTACGTTTGAGTTTATGATTTTCTTCCGAATCCTACCGGGCCCCTGAGGAGGCAGCGTATTGTAAATTCAATGAGCCTTTGAACAGCTGTGATTTCTGATTCGGTTGTCCGTTTGAGTTCGGGTTTATGGCAATGTGTTTAACTACCTAAGACCTTTAATTTTAAACCAAACCTATGCTACTATATTTAAGAATTTTGTTTGACTCCTCCCTCTTAAGGGATAAAATAAAAAAATAATAATATCTTAAAATAATAGACATTTATGGCTATTATTGATACATTAAATCTCTAAATCTCATTACTTTATCTATAATGGTAAAACATATAATACACCGGGACTTTTAAATCACACTGTATTTTCAGTAAGTTATGTTTATACATACAGTTATCAATAGGTAGTTTTATTTAAAAGCTTGTATGGTTCAAACCTGAATAGTTTTAACTTACTGGTATTAAAGCAAGTTAGATTTAAAATAATCTTTATGCCTTTCCAGGTGTTGGCAAGGAAAGAGATGTCTCCCGTAGAGAAGGAGGATGTCCTGTTCACACTGCTGAGTGCTGCTGATCTCTACCACAAACACCCGGAGTATTTCGACATGTTCGGCTCATACAAGGGACACTCTAATGTGATATTCTCGGTAAGTATTCTACAACGCAGTTACATGTTGTGGCACACTCGGCTACATTTTGGGTGATTTGGTCATGTGAATGATTACCATAACCAAACAGTTTGTGTTGGAAACGAAAACTGGACTCATTTATTTAACCTGAGGAGACAATTTACCGCTAATCACAGGCCCAATTAGCCAGCTTTGATGATTATTAATTTAATGGTAACACATTAAATACAGAAATACCATTATCCTTACGATATATGCAACAATTATTGGTCAGACAATCGGACACAATGTGAATAGACGATTGAGCAAAATGTTAATACAGTATTACAATAATGATACGGGAAATTAGATGAACATTTTCGACTACATGACCTGGAAACAATTTTGGGAATTTAGAATAATTACATTACTAACATCTTACCTCATGTGGGGGTCCCTTCATGACCCCTGTCCCTAGCGTCCTAGCACGTTCGCATGTTGAGTGTTCGATGGCAGCGGCAAGACAAGACTTCTAGTGGTGGAAATCACCATATTAAAATAACCAAATCAATCGGTTATTGATGCTAAACATACTAATTCGGTTATTTTATCCTGATTCGGTTAAATTAGTCTTACCGAGCGATTCGGTGATTTAGCAAAAAGTTTGTCATATCATCAGGTAACTAAAATTGATTCAGCGATTCATTTGATTAAAAATCACCAATTGACGCTAACTGACTAAATGCTATTCAGTTTCCCATAAGATAAAAATTAGTTGTGGTCTGGGACAGTGAATAATGACTGAAGTTGATTCGGTGATTCATTCAATTAAAAATAACCGATTGACGCAAAAAATAACTTATTGATTATTCGGTCATGGAAACCATTCAGTTATCCCATCACTAAAGACTCTCCTTGTTCCCGAGCATGCGCTAGCACTCACGTGACCCGAAGAGTGCCTTCTTGGCGGCTCACTTGAATTGTTGTGTGGAGGTTAAGCTCCACAATGTCAAATAGTTTTGTGTTTTACTTATCTTAGATTCTGTGTCAATGTGATGTGTGAGTGTCCATGATGTTAAGCCATTGTGTTATAGTTTAAATACAGTCTGTGCCAAAAAAAAAACAAAAAAAAAACAGTGGCAAATTTGAATAAGACCCTTACAATTTATAGCAGGACTCGACTACTGTTTCCTTTGACACATACTGTACTTGGAGGTCTTGAACAGTTTTTCTTATAAAAACCAGAATATGTGTACAATTACATTAGATGAATTCCTTAGTTTGATTTCAAAATATACAAGTGTGTGGTGAGTGGCAGAGCTTCTACTGGTCATCTTGCATAGGATATAAATCATCTTATGAGGGTGATGTAGTTTTGTTGTTACTATAACCCCTAGAAATACAGGCTTTGACAATAGATAGAACCAGTCCTGTGAAATGATTTCAGTTTATCTGCTAAGGAAGAATAAACGTGACGGCCCCATATATAATTTGGCAGAGAAGATTTCCATTTGGCTTTATGTAAGATCCACCTGGAGCTGAAAAAGGTTCTTAGGATCGGTAGCTTATATAGACCTGCAGATATCAAAATATGTCCAAGCCAATGTCTCATTTTACATATATCACATAACAATTTATCAGTTTTAACATAAAATAATTAAGTGGTACCAGTAATTTTTCAAAACATTATCAAGTACTCTGGATATCTCCAAATCATCTAACTCTGTCAATACTAATACACTTGTTCTTTACTCTTTCTCTTCTGTTTGCAGAACGCTGCCTCTGGTCTGGACACAGTTCACCCAGAAGCTGACCCTCTCACAGGCCACATGAAGCTCCATGACGACCTCAAGACCTGCACACCCCAAGAGGTCAGTACCACTATAGACTAAGCTGGAGTACACAGCATGAAAATTGTTTGATATAAATTGTAATAGCTGTTATACTCTGTTCACAAAATATAGGTGATTTACGGGGAAGAAATCTATCCCCTCCACTTGATCCGATACCTTTAAAAATAGCTCAACAGTTGAAGTGTTACAAAACCAACGTCAATCAGATGCATCTTACATTAAGAAAAAAAAAACAGACTATAGTAACTCCAATTGAACGCTATAGTACACAATATTGCATCAATTCTCGTTAGATTATTTTCATGAGGTTTACTAACTTAAGTGATATCGGACTGCATACGCTTGTTTCTTGATTACAAACTAATTAAAAGTTCAGTAAACATTTAAAATAAGAATTTTTTTTAAAGTAGGAATATTGTTTTAGAATATGATGGGATAGGGATTCAATTTAGAACCGGTTTTATTTCAAAAGTGCATTATTGATCTAACTTCCCACATATTCATACAGTAAAATATACATATCCATCATTAGTAAAATTGACCAAATCTAATGACAATACTGTAACTTCAATAGACTACAGCTTGCATGTTTAAGGTTCCAAACACACCTTAATCTGTTTGTATTTTACTATAGTGTTATTTATAGTTATAGAAACACTTTGTTTATAAATAACAATATTTTTTTAAATTCCAGTCGAAGCCATAACTTAAAGCTGTGCCTATATGTGCAAGACTACACAAGCAAAAGACTCGCAAAAGACTCGACATTCCAATGAAGAAGGATCCAAGTCTGATAGGGATCCATCTTCAAATCAAACAGACTGTGTTAAAATTAGAATAATTATGTAATAGATAAGTAAAACCTAATAAACCTATTGTTTGGTTAAAAAAATAAAATAAAATGAGTACGTAATTTACCCTAAATATCAATACAAATACAATGATTGATCATAAACAAAAATTTATTTTTAAGACAATTATTTTGAATTGAGTTTGCCAGTAGTCTTGGCAGTTTCTCTTCAAGTCAATTAGTTTTGATTAATTCTCCCAAATTCTACTTAAGATTTGTGACTGTATGTATGAGTTTATATTTGGCAATGCTTCAAATCTTTTCCTTTCAGCAAGTAAGGTCTTATTGTATGGGATAACTTAACCACCACCATTTGCAGTTTTCAATTTTACTAGTCATATGATTCAGAACAATTGTTGCTAGTCAAACGTTCAAAGGAACATTTCCTTCACGAGCGCTTGGTAATTTAATCTTCCATTGAATCCTTTTACATACCGCACCACTTATACTAAAAAAGGCAAGGAAATTTAAACCCCTTATTTGAATTTGAAAAAAAGAATTGTTCTACCCTTCAGTCGTAAAACTAAGCTTTCTTTCTAAAACAAATTATGGTTGTGTACTATTTCATACAGCAGATCTAAAGAACCACAGAGTATTATCTTCCGCGTCCTCTTCCTGTTGCAAAGCACAGGTATAGAGCTAGTGATTCTGTAAAATTACCAATACCTAAGAACAATGAAATTCAGATTTTTAATTGCCATAACATAACATGTAAAGTCTTCCATTTAATATTTTTGCTTGATGCCATAGCTTGGCATCACTATCAATGTGGCACGAATAACAAAATTCAAAGTACAAAATAAATACAAAATATAAAGACGCTTGTATCCTAAAGTTAGTAGGTAAGCAAGAATATGTCCCAATTAAAATGCTCCAGTAAACAAAACATTTGACAGGGCAAAATCAACAATAAGGTAGTCTATGATTGATGTGCCTGGACATGACTTAATTAAGAGGACAAAAGAGTCCTAATACAGCCTCAGTCCAGTAGGGTTTCAGCTCACTGGACTGGAACATCAGGACGCCTGGACATAGAAGCTATCTCTTCCCTTCAATAAATGAATCAAAGTCAACAAATATATCTTTTCTGTGATCAGGATCCTCAGAGTGATTTATCTGTTTGTCTCAGAGCTTTCTGTTTGTGTGCTGTACAATTAGTATAAATCCTTAACCGGTTGAGTTTGTATTGTTATGCAATAGGTACCTCCAAAATGCCTGAATGATCAAAAAAGATAATTAATTCGGTTTTTGTGTAAACTGTCGTTGTGTAAAGGTTAAAAATAATGAATTAGTTAGAGTTTTAGGAATGAAAGATGTTTCTTGGGGAATAGAGTGGAATATTCCCAGAAGCCTACAGGTCCACTTGCGGAAGTGGTTGGTTCAGAGCTATAAAGACCTACCTGAGTAGAGGCTGTGGATTTTCCGAGGTTAAGCACCTATAAAACCGTCAACATCATCATCATACATTCCTCACATTCCTAATAAAACATCTATTATGTAACGAAATAAACTATATCAGCAAACTGACACATACATTCTCTCATTGTCTCAGCTTGTCAAACACCTTTTCATGGCACACGGGAAAGCGCTAAAATTTGTTATAACTTATGGGAAAAATCACAAAAGTTGCAATTTAAACTGTAATTTTCACAGCAATATGGGTTGTACCATTTCGTTTAGAGTTAAAAGAACTATAAATACACACAATTTTTATCAATATTGCTTGTTTTGTCAAATTTGATTTTCCGTTATTTAATTTTCATCGGTAAAATCACACAAGCTGCTATATCTTTTGAACCATAATTCTCACAGCGATGGTTTATTATACCACGGTTATACCACTAAATCATAATCAAAATTGTTTGTGCCGATTTTTACAAAACTCAATCTTTTAGTAATTTTATGGGTTTTATGGGAAAACCACCATTACTAGGCAGGGCATGGCATAAATTAACATGTTAACTGTCAGTGCTGAGATTTTGTCGCCCAGTGGCTATGGGTGGTGCCGGCATATTTTTTTTTATGATTCACATTTTAAATGTATTGCAATTTTTAAAATAACATTATGTAAATATTTTAGTATTGAACTATGATTTTGGCCCAAGAGGTTGTGAAGGGAGCCTTGGCCTGTTACAACGTTCTAGAATACGTAATTCAGTGAGATTATCTGTACTATTTACAAGCAAATATAATCGAAAAATGCATTAAAAGATACGTCGAAATGTGTGATTTTCACTTAAATTTACGCAAAAATTTCCGGGGGGAACCCTAGGACCCCCCTTTTTGATTGGGGGTATTCCATACCCCCCAGGCCCCCCAGATGGTCCGGCGCCACTGTCGCCCAGTGGAAATCCCTTAAAATATGCTCTGAAGGTGGCGTTCGCAGATGCGACCACAAAATTGAGCAGAATCATCAGGGCATCATATTGACATTTACCCTCACCATCATGCTCTAACATTATTTTACCTAAAATCTCAGATAGTGAAAATTTTATGTAGGTATACATTTTTAGTGTGATTAAAATAGTTAAAAATTATTTCCCAGTGGAGAGAAACAGTTTGTCAATAACACAGAGATGTTATATGGGTTTTTGAGACCTGTATTTATATTTTGCTTAAAACCTCTGGGATGGTATATTTACTTTTTCTCAAACAGGGAATATATGGACAGTGCCAACAGCGCCTTTGACAAAACATTCATCGGGCCATAAGTTGTAGCATAACATAACTATACATCCTTTGGTAGTCTGAGGATGTTTTCACGAGATTGGAATTCATCGGAACTCACTATATTGCGGCTAATAAAGGTTTGTTTATGGCAAGAATGAATGTCACAGGACTTTGTAGCTTTGCCAATTTGATAAGGTTGTGAGTAGCCACCATCGATATAGTAGCCAAATCTTCTTTTCTTGCCATGATACGAACACCGTTGCAAAATTCGGTGATTTTTTGGTATTTTTTATATGAATCGCAATGATATAAATGTATAATCTTCCTCAGTCGTTCCATGAACAATACTAGTAAGAGAAAATGACTGATCTTTGCCGGATTCACGCATGATAGTTTTTCCTTGAAAATCTTGTTGAATGTGTTCGTATACTAAACGCCTATATCTCTACCACTGATTTGAAAGATCAGATGGCATGAATAAAGCCGGATCTTACATCAGTAGTAACTGAGCCATATCACCCAACAGATATTCATTAAGATCACAAAACACATCATCTTTGGTTGTCAGGTTTGGCTTTACGATCATTTTGTAAGCATTTTACGATCATTCATTGCTAGTACTGTAGCTTCTGACCCCACAGATACTATTTAATTGTAAACTACGGTACGGTTTGAACACAAGAATTAATCACACACTCAAATAGTACATGAACAGATGATTAAAAGCACAAATATTATTGTAGCGGTGCCGAATAATATGTCACAAGAAAAATGCACAACCTTTTTATTTCAGTAACTAGGTAACAACTGAAATATAAACAATAAACAATAATCACAACATGTGTTGTTAGCAAATTAAATGAATAAAATATTAATCCAGCTTTCAGCTGTCCCTACACCCTCCCTTCTCTTTTTTTTTATTTCCCCTCACGTGTTTGGAATCTATTGTTTGTGGGAACTAAAAAGACTCTATTTCTTTTATATAATTTCCCATCGATGTTGACCATGTAATCTCTAGTGTTGAAATTTGTTCCATCCACTATTCCATATCGCTTCAGGTTAGGACACCCACACATTTTCCCCCGCAACCAAAACTCGTAGCTCTCTTACGCGGTGTCTTTTGTCGTAGTTTCGCTTCTGGTTTTCTTTGTCTGAGGTGTCCCTTGCCTTAACATTTTTCAAGTCTGGCCACTTTGGCTCCAATGTATTGTCTGAAGTAGGAACAGTGCTTCTGATTTTCCTACCAAAAAGAAGCTCAGCAGGACTGTAACCGCAGCTTAGTGGAGTAGAACGATATGCTAATAATCCCTCATAAGGATCTAGAGTTTTGTTCAGAATGTTTTTAGCAATTTGAACTGCTCGTTCTGCCTGTCCATTGCTTTGTGGAAACATCGGGCTGGAAGTAATCAGTTCAAAGTGGTATTCCTTAGCAAACTCCCTGATCTCTCATGAATTGAATGGGCTGTTATCAGACCTTAGAACAGAAGGTAAGCCATGTCTAGCAAAAATGCTTTTCAAAGTCTTGATTAATGAAGGGGCGTTTGTTTTGTTCACTTGAACCAATTCTATATACGGTACTTGGAAAAGTAGTCTTGAATTACTAGATAAGTCTTTCATGCTGAAGCAGATCAGCTCCCAATACTTGCCACGGTCGATCAGGCAATGGTGAAGGAATGAGAGGCTCACAAGGAATTTGTGAATTGTCAATGCAAATAAGGCATCCCTCCACCTTTTGTTTGATATCATTTGTTAGCCACCAGACGGCATCACGAGCTCTTGAAATACACCTGTTTACACCTTGATGTCCAGTATGAAAACTGTTCAGAACATCTGCTCTGATTTTACTAGGCACAAATAATCTAGGCCTACTGCCATGGAGAATCAATTTGTTATGAAGCACCAAATTACCTCTTTCTTTAAAAAATGCAGTTTTCTTCAATTTCGTCCTATCGCCAGATTGAATTGCATCTTCCAATACACCACACAAGGTATCCTCATCTTGGGCTCTCTTTATTGTTGCCAATCGCCTGTCAGTGACGGGAATGGATGACATTACTTGACAAACGTGAATTTCCATTTCGTTTAAGATATCTCCAGTGTTGTCTTCATTCCTCAAAGCCATCGGATTCCTTGATAAAATATCAGGAATAAAGAAGTCTTTGCCTTTTTCGTGGTGGATATCAAAGCTAAAAGGTAGCAACCTCATTCGAAACCTTTGAAGACGGGCAGAAAGGCTGTTGATGGGCTTATTACCAAGAATTTGGACAAGCGGTAAGTGATCAGTTATCAAATCAAAAGACTTTAGCCCTGACACAAATTGAGAAAGACGTTCACAAGCCCATG